CAGTGAAGTGTTTATTAGAGGAATAAACTGCTGGTGTTTCTTCTCTGTCTACCGCTACTGCGGTCAAGGACCACGTAACGGGCCTAACAATATGACTTGCGCCATTTCTGAGTGTCTCCATATCTCATAGCGAGTGAACACGGGAGTTTTGGTTTCTGGTAAGACGTATACGGAGTGACGGGGGTTTTTTGCCAAGGGGACTGCTGATGGTTTGCTTGTTGGGAGATTGCTGGAAGAACAAGCGGAAGGAGGCTTGGCTTTCTGGTATGTGGCCCTTCAGCATCAATTTTAGCTTTTGGAACGGGTAGTGGAGGGGATGATTCTTTCCATTGGGATTTAAACTAACAGTTTGAGCCTGAAGCATATAGCATATACCTTTTTTGGCCTTTTCTTACCGCGAACTTTTCTTGCATTCTCCCCTTTTTAGGATTCGGGCAGTGAATTGCTTAATGCATTCCGATATGCTGATTTCGCATTTGATGAGAACAAAGATGTGCCGACATTAAACAACCCAACCGAAGTGGCGCATAATGAACTGGCAGCAAAATCGTGGGATGATATTATCCCGGAAGCGGATCGTAAAAAATTCGCAGAGGAAGAGCGAGAACGGGTCGAGAAGGAGCTTTTCTTGGGACCAAGACAGAGAACAAAAGTAATTTTTTTTGCAGTATTTTGCGTTTGTGCAGCAAAATCTGTACTTTTTTGGGGAAGAATTACGCGTTTTTTTGTAAGCTTATCTTACTTTTTTTTGTAGTTTTTTTGCAATTTATTGTCACAAACTTCTTTTTTATGAGCTAAATATTATGGAAAAATAATAGAAGTTAAGGACAAACAGTTATTTAGTGCTTTTTTTTTGCCGATAAGATCTAATAATTGAAAAATTGCACAAAAAATTTATCAAAGATTATGGAAGCAGTTTTGAACTTATCGATGTGCAACACAAGAAAGTAATACCTCAAGAAAAGTACCATTTCCTCAAAAGAACCTTTCTTTTCAAGCGGGTATTCATAAGAGAGAACCATCGAAAGCCTTGTTAACGGGTCGCATACTGTTGACGAAGTGCTATTACTGGGCTGTTTTCGAGTGTTTTAAAGGGGGAGGGGGTAAGGAAAGGGGTTTTTTGGCATTAAAAGCAAAAAAAAAATTTATCAAATGATGCAGGCTCGGATTTGATTTTTTCCAGTTTCCGTTGAATTTCCAGTTTTTATCTCTCAAAATTCAAGCACTTCTTTATTTATATGATGTATAATTCTTGATGTTCTGAGATAACAGAAGCGATACAGCAGAAAGCTGCAAAATCCATGCTGTACGTGCTGATAAGATCTGATAATTAAAGAAGTGCAAAAGTATTAAAAATAACAGTTGCTTTGCATATTTTGCGTGAGTTCAACTCCGTTCTTATTTCATTTTGCATTAGAAATATCAGTGTTTTTACTCCGACTGACTTTTCTGAGAGAATATCTTCTAAGAAGACGTTCGCAGGAAGATTGAGTGATAGCAAGTGCCAACAGCAACTACGAAATTGACAAGGCTTTCAGTGGTTTTTCTTTTTATGCGTTTTTTGCAGCAATGCAATGCGAAAAACGCATATTGACGAGAGGTTGTCT